TTGGAAACAGTGACACAAGGTGTCAAGTTTAAAAGTATCTACATACCAGTTATCCCAAAAACAGTGTCTCTAAAGATGCCTTAAAAGCGATATCTACAGCCCCCTCCCTCTACTTTCAAAAAATTCTCTAAAATACTGTACATACCTAAAAGGTAACTTTACCCCCTTTCACTAAAAATCACCTCAGCATGCAGCTCTACATGCTGATATGAAATCATCTTACATTCATTAGTTAAATAAACATATTTTTATTTTACGTACAATTACTGTTTTTCTACTTCCTGGTCCTCTTGGGCATTTGCGATGTGATCTGTGCCCAATCATTGCATGGGAAGATTACATCAGCAGAACATTGCTCAATCTCATTTGTAATCTCATGAGATCTCAGGGAAAGGGATTTTCCTCCCCTGAGATGATGTACACGGTCACATGTCCTAGTCACATGTGCCAGAGTTCCAGAAAGTAAAAGGGAGATATTATAATCTGCCCTTAGTTAAAATGGCCACTGGGGAGGAAAAGAAAAATAAGGTATGCAAAAAATAAAAAGCTGGCAATTATCTAGAAGTATGTGTTTGTAAATTGACATTACTAACGATTTCTAAAGGAAATTGTCTTTGTTGTCATTTCAAAGTCATTTTGTTGTCATTTCAAAGATATTGGTAAAGTTCCTCTTTAATTGCCGTTGTCTTTTTACTGACCAGTGCTGTCATGGCACCTTCATCTTCTGGTCTGGTGGTGGAGGTCAGCAGTTCTTACTGCTGCACTGAGCCTAATGACAGTAATGTGCAATGCTGCAGGGCTGGGCTGGGTCCATGACAAACTGGGCTCACAGAAAGTGGTTGAATGATGCTGGCTGCCATTCAACCCAAAAGAGAGCAGCGATGAGCAGTGGAGGAGATTGCAATGGGCAGCACTGGGCAACAATGGACAGTGAATGGCAGCACTGGCTTGTTGGGTTGTGGGGGGAGAAGTGGTAACAAAAAGAAAATATTTCACTGAATCCCTTGCAAAAATGAAGGAGGGATGGGTGAATGACAGAATTCCACATCCTTCATTTGCAGAAGAGCTTCCATTCTGTGAAAATAATACTAGGAATTTTGTAACGAACTAAACAACCCCAACACTCTGCTCAGCCACCAGGAAGTTTAGAACTGTTCTAGTTGGAGTTAAGGCGATATTAAACTAAAAAAGGTTTTAAGCTAAAAATGCTGAATAAATCACTTAGAAGCTACTTCTTGATGTTTAAAAGAATCAGCTGGTCCCTTGAACACCGGTCCTGATATCCTGTATTAGAGTGGCTCCTTTCACTTTCAGGGTCCTATGGAGCCAACCTTGTGTTTTTGTAAATTTTTCTTGTAGAAAGACTGAACTGTGGACTGAACTGGACTCTTCTCTCTCCATGTGCCGTCTATCCTGATAACAATCTTGGACCAGCAGCTGAGATCGGACTTTCATCTGATGTGTGACAGGCGAGATGTTTTTAACCACTTCATGACTGAGGCCTTTTTTTTTATTTTTTGCACCCATGTTAAATTCCACATTTTAGGCCTGAAAATTACTTAAAACCCCCTAAAACATTATATATTTTCTGAAAGCCAAGACCCTACAGAATAAAATGGCGGCAATTGCAAATTTTTATGTTGCACGATATTAGCGCAACTCCTTATCAAACCCCAAAATTTAGTGAAAAATGTACGTAAATGCCACAAAACACAATAAAATACCCATTTTTAAATAGAATATAAAAGATGAGGTTACAACGAGTAAATAGATACCTAACATGCCCAGGTTAAAAATCATGTGCATCTGTGAAACGGCGACAAAATTCAGTACCCCAAAAAGTCCATAGACAAAGCTTTAAAAGCCCGCACAGGTCATCAGTTTAGAGATACCCAAAAATACTGTCCCTAGAATTATTGCTCTCACTCCGGCGTGTGCAGCGATACCCAACATGTGTAACGCGTTTGTTGTTTTCATACGTAGGCGCACCCGACGCATGTTTACGTGAAGACGCCGGGCCGGGGACTTTAAAAACATTTTTTACATTATTTTCATTTTTTTTTTATTTAATGTTAATTTTCATTTTTTTAACTTTACTTTCTATCACAAAGGAGGGCTTACAAGCCCCCCATGTAATAGAAGATGGTGGTGACAGGTACTCTTTGAGGTGATGCTGGGGTCCAAAAGACCCCCAGTATCACCTCTACACTCCAAATAAGCTATTGAAGTGCAGATCGCACTTCAATAGCTTATAGCTGGGCTTCAGGAGCCCAGCACTGACAGCTATGGGACCGGAAGTGATGCAATCTGCATCGCTTCCGGTCCCATAGTACGGGGAGGGGAACGATGAACGGAGGTTCGTCCATCTTCTCCACAGCATCCCGCCGACACCAAAGAAGCCTGTCCCGGGCCCGTAGGAGGGGCAACGGAGCTCGGGAAACATGGCGGGGGTGTTTTACCCCTTCACCGGCCCGTAGAAGCGATCTGGCGACAGCTGAGTCGCCAGAATTGCTTCTCCTGTAAAGCCGACAGTCGGCTTTACAAGTTTGAACAGAGTCCAGGCGGCTTTCTGTTTAAACAGCCCCAATGCCAGCAACGTACACTGTATTACTTTTAACCTTTATTAAACAGTCCCTTTTATACTGCACTTAGACCTGTGCGTCGGTTTTCTATGTTTTCTAACCAAACAGACTGGATGAGAGGAAAATAACAGAAAGATAAAAGAAATGCTATGAGAAAATCCTCATGTCATCTAATTTCTACCAATTGGTTCACATTTCCTTTGCTTTCATAGATTGATGAACTGGAACAACTGTGAAATTCCCATGGGGGGAAATGTTCTGAAGAGACCTGAATGAATATAAACTATTTCTTTCTTTTACCAAATTGTAAAGGGTTTTTTTTTTTTTTTACAGACAGAAACTACAAGAGCAGAAGAAAAGGTCACTGGATAAGAATGACATTTGTGAAGACACAAACTAACTATTACTACCATTCATTTATACAGCACTGTCACATCCCACAGAACTGAATACAGACGAGTGTCAGAAAAAAAGACCAGTCTGCGTTTCCCTATAGCAAGCATTCACAAACCTTCATTAGGAAATGACAGTTACATTTCAGATACATTTGGATCTGGTTACTATAGGTAATGAGACATTTTCTATTACATGCCTTTACTGATTTCATTGCTATCATCCACACTATGAGACAAATTGCTATCAGTTACAGTTTGATTGAATTGTTTTTCTGCATACCCTAAAACATAGAATTTAAAAAAGGAACAAACAAAAAAAGGCCAATCATTGAAAAAAATATCCAATCCAATCGCCTTCTTTCTAAATCTACATTAAACATAAAATGATAGCACTTGAAAAGTCCACCATGAAAAATGACCATGGTTGTATGTCTGAAGGTTCTCATTCATCCACGTCATTGTCTATCTGTAAAAATAAATCAAGGCAACTGGACTTGCTGTATTTTTTTCTTAAAGACATATCGCTGGTCATCCTACCAGCTTTCTCAATTCATAATGACTGCTACAAAAATTATCTGGGAATAAATATGGGAATGATGCTCCAATCTACATAATCTGTTAATCACAACCATCACGGGGTCAGAGACCTCCTGGAGGTAAGGTGCTAATTGCATTTGCATGATTGGGATGATCGCATCCCTGTCTGCTTTAAACCCAGCAATACACTCAGGCAACAACTGGTTCACCCAAAAGACCCAATGCCTAAACACAAGATGAACAACATTGTGTATGCAGTCCAGTGCAGTGAGGAGTGCTCAGAATTGTATGCCGGTGAAACAAAACAGCAGCTACACCAGCATATGGCACAACATAGGAGGAGCCAAACCCTCTGGTCAGGATTTGGCAGTATACCTACATCTAAAAAGGAAAAAAGGTCTCTCCTTTGAAGACAGTCAAGTACGCATCCTAGACAGGGAGGAAGACTAGTTTGAAAGGTGTAAGAGGCCATTTATGTAAAAATGGAGAAGCCAAGCTTGAATAGATGTGAGCCATCTATTGTCTGTCACATACAATGCTGTTTTAACACCTCTCTCTGGGCGGCTTAATAACACCTGCTAGCTACAATCATGCAAATGCAATCAACATCTTACCTCCATGAGGTGTCTGACCCCATGCTGGTTATGATTAAAAGATTATGTTGATTGGAGCAACATTGACGATATTTATTCCACGAGAATCTTTGCACAAGTTATTCTGAATTGAGAAAGCTAGTCGGATGACCAGCGAAACGTCTTCAAGAAACAATACAGCGGGTCCAGTTGCCTTGATTTCTTTTTTACAGATATAGAATGGTTGTATGGTATTGATTTGTGGGAATGTGGTGCATAGACACATGTGGTTTGGCTCACTAGTCTACCTCATGAATAAATCAATCTCAAGGTCTGGACTCTGTGGTGGCCACCCCATGTGTGAAAATAATGTCTCATGCTCCCTGAACCACTCTTTCACAATTTGAGCCCAATGAATCCTGGCATTGTCATCTTGGAAAATACCCAATGTGCCATCAGGGAAGAAATCCACGGATGGAAAAACCTGGTCACTCAGTATATTCAGGTAGGCAGCTGACCTCATTTTATGGGGACAGAACGTTGCTGAACCTAGACTAATTATACAATGGAAGGCTCTGAACTATATGCTGAGCTAATCCAGGTGGTGACTTTTTCTTTTTTTGGCTGGCCAGTGTATACTAAAGCATAAAGTTAGTCGTGATATGTTTTCTGAACTCTGGGCACAAGGAAAAATGTACATCCCAACTGGAGCCTTCTATAATATCAACTTTTGTAAGTGCTATGAAATGTTGTGCCTTTTGTGTGTTTTTATTATCCTATTTTCCGCACCAGTGAAGCTTTTTAGCAGGACTCTGCAAGGTAACACTGCCGATTGTTTATTCAATTACGTAAGTAGGTGCAAAACAGAAATTATATAAATATTGGATTTTAAAAACAATATAGAATGGGTGCACCTTACCACATGAGTGGCCTTTAAACTGCTGCCATCAAATCTACAGAGTGTTGCACAATCTTCAAGTGAAACATCACACTCTTCCAGCTCCTGGGCATTACAGGGAGGTTTGTCTCCATCTGGATCCGGGTTCTAGCAAAACGAAAACAAACACATTTCTTTTAATCGTTACTTATAATGAAATGCAACACTGACCAGCAATCCCAGTATTGATATGTGCCGAGCCAGAGGTTTGCCAGAAGTCTTGCTTTACTTAACTGCATTGGAAAGCTGAACCTGAACCACTCATTAACCCAGAAGAGCCTGAGGAAGGGGACCCTGTGCGGCCCCGAAAGTGCTTGTATTGGAATGACAGTCAATAAATGGGCTTTTGCTGATTTCACTTTAATGGTGTGCTGGTGACATCCTTTTGCAAACTTGCTAATCATAGGGAGGCGTAGTTCAAATCACACCTGGTATTACTGGACCGAACTTACGACCTCCCCTGACTATAGTGCGCTGTTGGGACTGCAATACAGGTGAGGACTCAAGTTGGGTGCCGGAGTACACTGACTGGGGACACAGGCATGGATTTGTACTGGCCCATTTCATTCTGGAGGTGCCTGCTCCTGACTAATCGACAGGTTTCGGGGCTGTGCGTGGGGAGGGGAGGAGGTTCTCCTGTTCCCTCTTTGCTACCTTGTTCTTTCTTGCCCTATTCACCGTTTCCCTCAATCCAATCTCTTTCTTTTTTTTTTCCTCTTTCTACCTCTTCTTTCATTTCCGATTGAAGTTCCTTTTCTGGATAACCCAGGACTTCAAATGGGCGCAGCATGTGGACTACATGGTTAGATTTTTTGCCATCTATGGGTCTTAGGGTTATACTACCTCCTAGCTTTTTTCATGTTGCTGCTGACTTATTTTCTTTTCTGCACTTATACTGTATAGTTCTTCTCTTTTTGAACATTGTCTTATATTTCTACTGCTGAAAATAAAGAATAAAAAAAAAAGTTGAGGGAGCAAGAGGTGCAGGATTGAATAAGTGCACTAAAAGTTCACCTGTTAAAGTTAAAGACAGTTAACTCTCATAATTAGCATGCAAGGCAGAACCCAAGCCTCAAGATTGTTAACCCTTTTTTAGGACAGTGTTCAAATCTGGCTTACTGTCAAAAAGATTTGCCAGCACAGTAAAGACAGGGTTAATTATTGCAAACATTATCTCCCCAGCTCCCTCCTTAACATTACATAGCAGATGAAAACTTAAGCTTTGGAGTTTTCAAAAAAGAGAAAAGTAATATGTAAGCAGAGTAATTTTGCATTTTTTTTTAGGTTATGCTATATGAATATGTAACAAACACAAAAATGGTAAAATCCCAATTTGGCTGCAAAAGTGGAAATACACTTTCAACAAAAAAAGCACATTGATTGGTATTGGTCAGTTTTAAACACCATAGAGGTGTCTTCAAAAAGTAGAATCAGGTAGTGGGGTGGATCCCGACAATATTGACCTTGTGCTGTCAGCATATAGCCGGCAATAGCTTGCTACATGCGGAGTTTAAGGTCACAGGAGGACATATAGCAAAAAGGTTTGGCCGTAGTCCTCTTTTAAAATACCCCCATCTACGTTAAGCCCTCATTCACACAAGAAATGGCCGGCCCGTACGGATCCATGCACGGCCGTATCGGGCAGCTCCTGGGAAGGACAGGTGCTGTGTGCGATTACACGCAGCAGCCTGTCCTTCTCTATGGGAGTGCACGGCCATACGCGGACCTACACTTACCGACCTGCACATCCGTGCGGGTGCAGGTGGGTGTCCGTGCTCGTATGCCGACATGATGGATCCTGTGTGTCAGAGCAGGGACACCCGCACCTGTACAGACATGCAGGTCGGGTGAGCGTAGGGCGGTGTACAGTCGCGTACTCCTATAGGAGAAGGACAGGCTGCTGCGTACAAATCACACGCAGCACCTGTCCTTCGCGCGCGAGCTGCCCGATACGGCCGTGCACGCAGCACGGATCTGACAGGCCGGCAGTTTCTCGTGTGAATGAGGCCTAAATCTTTCAAAAAATAGCTCTAAAAGCTGTGTTTTTTCTGCCCATGTGCATGTGGCCTAACACTATCGTAAGTATAATTACGAAGGGCTGACTGGTTCATTAGCCATCATCAGAATCCTGTGTTTTTACACATAACATCTCCAGCCATGTCATAACCCTGTCGGCATTACTGGGAGACCATTGCATGTATAGGAGACTGTCATAGTAAATACTGAAAAGATTCTGATTCTGCAATCTCATTCTCCCGTGGAAAGAACGAAGCCACGTTTATTCGCACTGCAAAATCTGAACTCTACACCATGTGGCTATTGCTGGTTTAATTATTTCTACTCTGCAGAGTATCTGAGAGGTCATCAGTCAGGAGAGAATGAAGGCCTCTTCAGCTTGCCAGGAATCCTAATCTCCAACATGAATATGTTCCAAATGAGTTTTCTTCACAGGGGCCCGATATTAGAATTAGTCATGCTGATAAAGTAATAACTGTTATACTTTTTTTTAAACCTGGCATTAATACTGCATTCTGAAAAAGAAAAAAAAGGTGTGTGTACCCAATGTAAACTACATAGTTGCATAGCTAACCAGTTACAAAAACTTTACCCTTCCAGATCAACCTTTCACATCATAAATAAAAAGAGCACAAAATGCAGAGATATGTGTGAACCACTTTAGCTATTTGCCTAAACTTCAGCTTTAAATACATGTATATTGACTTTTTTTCATGCAGCCAGAACTTGGTTCCACCAGTGTCCGCTAAACTACATTGCTGCTTTATGCTGTATGGCTATAGTATTTTTTTATGGAGTCTTACACTAGTATTATGGCCTCCCATTAGAAAAACAAAATGTACTGCAGCATATAACTGCATCTGCACTTAGTTTTCTCTCTTCACCTCCAGCTGTGGCGAAACTACAAATCTCATGATGCATCTGCCTCTAGGATTTATGTCTGTGGCTGCCAGTCTTACAATGCCTAATGGGTCTTCTAGTTGAACCACAGCTGGGGTTGCCAGAGCTTGCCTACTTCTGCTGTAAGTGAAGTCCACCTATTGCAGCTTCCTCTGATGGTGTGCAATAATGCAGCACAACTCCTGAATTCATAGCAGAGTTGCCACTCATGTAGCCCTGCCTGCATTCAATACAGAGGAATGAAAAAAGGATGAAGACTGGGATGTCCATCAGCATTGTTATTGCTGATTGACCAGTCTGAAGCTTTTCATTCTGCACCTGGTCACACCTAGGTGTGCTCACTGCTTTCTGTATTTACAGCACTGCCTCTGCTGCTGAAACCTTCCCACTGTGGGCTGCAGTGTCTGGGAGGGTGAGGGTGTGAGACACTGTGGAGGATTTGTCTCTGTCAGGGTAAAAAAAAAAAAAGTATTTTAAGAGACATGTGCATCATATAGTAACTAGATTAATTATTATTTAGACTGTCTTCTGATGCATATCTAAGCTCCCCTCATGTTCTTTTAATCTGATTAAATAGAAGTACCTGCCCAGTCCAGCACCAGTATCAGTAATGCAAATGGTGTTATTCACCCCCACTCTGCAGTTTCTTACCCATTTTGGCATTTAGTACACATGCTCCCACTACAAGATGTGACATTTCACATGGTGTTCAACTACTACCTATACCCACCAACATAACACGTTAAGAAGCTTTAGCAGTTGTTTATTGAACATACACAAACTAAACAGGCATTTTTTTTTCAACTGAAAACTTAAGTCAAACATGCCATTCTGCAATGAAGTGAATATGTAACGAAGAATGTTGAGGCAGCTAACATAACTAGCACTGCAGGGATCCTGCATATACATTTGTGCAGAGTTTGGATGCAGATCGTGGACACCCAGTGAGTCCCTGAACTTGAGTGCACACTGCATGCAAATACCCTACATCCTCCCACAGATTTCAATGCAGTGTGTGTTTCAGTGACCTGTGTTTCAGTGACCTGAACCTAAGTCTTTAGGTTGGTATTTGCATATGATACAATCCTAGATCTAAAGGCCTTTTGAGCAAAGACCTGCAACAGACTTGTGGATACCAGAGATCCACTAATTATACCCAAACTGTCTAACCACATCCCTGTGATAAGCATAGGTAAAGATCAAGTGACAGGGGCAGTTTTTATGCCGCTTTTTGTATGGATAAGCACGTTGGAGATGGCACACAACCCACAGGTTTGCAATATGTAATGCTAATGTCCACGCTAACTTTCTGATGGGCACAGTCCCATCTCTCTCCCAGCTGTCAGTTCTTTTGAACCTTACTCCTAGGGTTTTAAGAATTGTAAACAAGTTGGTAGCATAATCAGTCACTAGCTACAAGATTATCAGCAGGCTAGAGTGCTCTTTGGTTCTGACATGGCCTTCTTTTTACCTTAAAATGGACTTTCAGGTGTGGTCCATGCATGTAGACGCTACAAGATGATGAACAACCTCAAAAGTACACTTAAGTCTCCTGATGAATTGTTTAAAAGTCAGATTTAAAAAGTGAAGTGGCTTTAGCATAGTTGTAGTGTTTCTTGGATTACTGTGCATTACCAGTACACTGACTGGATTTACTTGTTCTCAGCAGTTGCTTTGTTTCCATGCGAGTTTCCTAATTTGCTCCCTATGTAGATAGAGCCCTGCTTACCAAGTCTTCAGAAGTGAGGTGCAATAGCTGTTCCGCTATAGCTGCACACTGTGCCGGATCTGCGATGAACTCTCCTTGTTTATTGCCAATAATTACTTCTGCCCACATACTGCCAATGTCTTTCTTCGCCAACGTAACCTCCACCCTGCAAGGGAAAAAGAACCACTATAGTGAAAAATACTGTATTCTGGCAAATGTTTAGGGCTAATACCTTTATGCATAGTACTCCTTTTCCAAATTAATTCCTTTTTTAAATTTCACATACTTCCCGCTCATATACTGTATACACACACACACACACAAACATTTTCCTCCACATATACATTTATAGATTGGAACAAACCATATAGCACTCCCAGAGGTCAGCTTTTATTGAAATGGTTCAAACTTCCGGTCAGGCAGCATATACAGCAGGGGTAGGCAAACTCAGGCCCTCCAGCTGTGGTGCAAATACACATCCCATGAGGCATTGCAAGACTGACAGTTCCATGCATGACTCCCAGATGGCATTTGTAGGTTTCACCACAGCTGGAGGGTCAGTTTTTGCCTACCGCCTGATATACAATAATAAATATAGTTCTTTTTTCCCCATATGCTGCCAGCACATAATAAAGTTGGAACTCAGCTCTCCTGCAGTCTGACACACCCCACTGAACACTGCTCTAATCAATATCACTCTCAGTCCATGATCAGAGCTGCAGGGTGTGGAGGTGTCTGAGAGCTGAGCTGCTGCTTGCGTGTGACAGCGGCAGTCCGGCTCTCCTAGTGCTGTCAAGCAAAGAGTTTTTTCTGCAGCACTTAGCAGATAAAAGTAAAGAGACCTATTCTCCAACTGCTTATAAACAGTTTATAAGTAATATCACCAAAAATTGCTGATACGTGGAATATCCCAATGCTTTAGGGGATCAGGACAGATTTTTTTGTCCTGGTAGCAGCAAATTAGACCATGCTTGTAGGGTCTTTTTTTTTTTAACCTTTTCTAGATCAACTGTGACTTACTAAGTATTACTTGTTTATGGAGATTAGGGATGTCCCGATACCACTTTTTTAAGACCAAGTACAAGTACTGGCCCTCATGTACTAATACCAATTACCAATACTTTTTCTTAAAAGGGACATGCAACATTTTTTTCTAAAACACAGACTGATGATTTTAGGGCAGTTTCTCACCAGGGCTATATACAGATGTCACCAGAACTGAATACATGTCGCCAAATCCGAACACATGTTCCATCAGCAGAACACATGTCCCTATGGCAGAATAGTATTCTGCTTTGTGGGCATGTATTCTGAGAAATACATGAAAAAATAGGGGAACACGAAGAGAAGGGAAAAGGAGAGGGGAAGAAAAGAAACAGGCTCAGTGAACATAAAGAGGTGAACAAAGACAAGAGAAGAGTGCGTGACAGATTAGCATAAATTGTTTGTGACAAATTACCATGTCAGTTAGGGTTTGCTGAACATAGCAATTCCTACTCGTACATTTTTAAGTATTATTTGACATTCAGTAATCAGGAATTACCAAAGCATGCAGAGAAGAAAATGAGTAACAGAAAAGCGAAAGTAGGAAAAGGAAAAAACACAAGTTGGTAGAAAGGTGAAAAGAAGATGCTCCCCGCCAGGGGCCAGCACAAAAAAAAAAAAAAAGGAAACCATGTACTCTTAAAGTAGGGTAATGTATTCTTCAGATGGAACAAATTGTACATTATTATTATTTCATTATCATTACATTTATTTTCTTACAGTTAAAATCTACAACACTTTGTGTGTCTCATTAAACCCTTCCTGACATGTGTAGCTCAATTAGGACTTAACCAGTTATAAATGCAAAGCAGGTCAAATGTACGAAGCCTGTGAACTGCTACATTAAATTCAAATCGAACTTTGCTGAATAAATGTCAGACGCAGGAAAACACCCGTCGCCATAAACCCTTAGGCTGGCCCCACATGAGTTTACACTACTGCAGGGTAACACTGCTTTGCGTTGCCCTTAACCACCCTCACACAAAGTTGATGTTAACATATTCTCCGTAGTGCACCATGATGCAAATGCTATGGATTGTGATCTGGTGTATGGCCAAAAATAAGTTCCGTTTTTTGTGCACAGAGATGCACTTATCCAGTCTGGCTGGAGTTGAACAGACCCCCGGACAAAGGTTTCCAAAGCATCTGGAAAAGCATTTTATTTGCATATTATTAGCTCTACCATGAGGAGCTACTTTACTGCAATCTTCCTAAAGATTATACTGGGGTTCTAAGCCGAGGAGTAACATATTTCTTGAAATGTATGGCAGAAAACATAAAACATTCATGATGGGGAGGAATGAGAGTCAAAAGGTATAAATACTTCTTGCTGTAATATGAAAAAAGGCATCTCTGTATCCAATTAGATGTGCATTGATCTTGCTTATCCCTGAATCTACACCAAGCATGCCTGACTTTCAGGTTGCAGTTGCAAAATGTAGATGTTTGTGAAAATGTCCACTTTGAATACTTATCAGCCTAATGCTGGATTCTGTCGATGGTGTCTGGGCTTTCTGTTTGTATTGTTTCAAACTGGTGTGTTCTGATGCAAATATGCATTTTAGTTTGATAGGGACTATGTTCTGATTTTATGGTAGGTGCACAGTAAAAATAGGAAGATCTCCAGCTAGGATTATTTAACTTCTCCTTGTTTGAAGAACAAAAACAAAATGTGAACTTGTAAAAGCACTGAGGGATGTAATACATCTATTAGGGAACTGCAGGAGAAAATATTTGATCTGCTTAGACATTCAAAGGTGTCTTTAAAGTGCACTCATCAGTAGAGTGTCTATTCGTCCCACAGCCTCCTGCCATGTAAAGACATTCAACTGACAAAAGGAAATCTTCAATATTCACTGAACTTGCATTTAACCTGCAACTTGACGCTATAGATTTGGCGTTCAATAAACGGTTTGCCTGTCTCGTCACTGTCTATGGCCGGCTCTGTAGCTTCTGGCTGTAAAAGGCAGAGGACAGAGTGTACGACGCTCGGGATCAATGGAACAGCGTCCTGTGCCTTGCTATGTTAATGCGGGGGAATTGAATTTCATCAAAGAAAAATAAAAGAAAATGACAGGCACTCAGCTGTCATTACCAGGTGAATAAAAGGAAATGGATTGAGTGCTTCCTATGTATAGATCCAAAAGAGGCAAAACGTGGGAGACAAGAACAAGCCTTTTCAGAGAAAAGAAGCAGAGTGGAGGGCATTGAATGAACTTCAATGAGGAACAGTGTGAAGAGGCTCTACACTAGACTTTGAATATAATAACCAAAAGCAAGTTCAGCAATTTTAGACTAATTAGAAAAGGGAACCGTGTTGAAATGAGAAGCAGTTAAAAGCTCTAAAAAAATGAATACAAAAACATAGTCACATTCTGTTTTTAGACTACAAAAAAAAAAGCTGCTAAACTCTCTCACGATGATCGTTATATTTGGGCTCCCGGGCGAGTGCATAACAAATGTATTTATTATAGGTATTATTTACAAAGCACCAACAGTTTAAGCAGCACTTTACCTACCGCACATTCAAATACTTGGGCTGATTTAGACAGGAGCCTGTAAACCCACCGGCATGTGTTTGGGATGTAGAAGGAAGCAGCCGGAGTACCCAGAGGAAAAATGGGCAGTTCTCGTGTCTCCCTTCACCCTGATTTGTGTCTGTACTGCCCTGCCCATGTTATTATGATGGCTGAAAGTGACTAATTGAAGACAGAAAGAGACAAGAAGCCTAAGTTTTGTGACTTTTATTATTATTAATTTTAGACAGGAGCCAATTAACCTATCAGCATGTCTTAGAAATATGGGAGGAAATTGAAGTACCCAGAGGAAACCCAAGTGAGCACAGGGAGAACATAAACACTCCTTGCAGATGGTGTCCTGACCGGGCCTCTAACCCGGTATCCCAGTGCTGTAAGGTGTAAGTGCTAACCAAGGCGATGTAGGGGAGAAGGACTCCTTTCCTACCTCCCACACATGGTCTGGGGACCGGTAAGAGGACTCTTGCCCACAGCAGTTAGCTGTAACAGTGCAATCTGGTGCTGGATTAGACTATCGTAGGACCATGTTACTGTCAACTGACTGCAGGTATATGGCTCATGATACAGAAGCTTGCAATTTCATTCATTCCTAATCAGTAGATACTGTTTGCAGTTTAAAGGGATACTTACCACAAAAACATATGTCAGCAAGTTTTATTACTATATCTTTATTTATTGATGATGAAACTCTGAGTAGATAAAATTATCTATTCATATATCAAATCAGTATTTTCAAAAGGAGAAGTATAAAATGAGAAGCTACTGCTCAAATAGTGGGCAGTAGCTTCTCATTTTATACTTCTCCTTTTGAAAATACTGATTTGATATATGAATAGATGGGCAGTAGCACACTATATGCTGAGTTTGGGTAACAGGAGTACGTTAGTTCTCTTTCGGGTCAAAGGAGTACGTTTACTAAAGCCCCCCCCCCAAAAAAAAGAAAGGGCTGGCTTTAGTTCTCTTTAAAGAGTATCCAAATACTTTTTTCAGGATTTTGGATAGAACAGGGTTACATCCCTTTGGATTTTTTGCGCTTGCTGTCTGCGTCAAGGTGATTTGCCCTCTCCATTTGTCTTGGTGAACATTGTCATTGGCACAGAAAGTGAAGGAAATGTAAAAATTTTGAGTTGTCACCGGAAAAGGAAATGAAGGAAAACATGTTCCACTGGCAGCTGTCTTAACAGTGGAATTTAGAGAGATTTCCGACCACTGGGAAGTGAAGTCAGCGTTCCCAGATGGGAAAAGACCTGATTGAAGATTTAACCAGTCCGTCCCCTCCAAAAGAAAAGTTTTGGCTTTAGATATACTGTACATTAAGTCGACCACTTATTTTTGCTCTTATGATATGTTCGGATTTTCTAAATATTTCTCTCTTTTTTCGGCTCATCTATAGTGTGAAATTTGGCATATTGCTAGAACACATCTAATAATGGAGTATGTGCTGAAAATGGGCTGATGGTCAATTATAAAGCTGTTTATCTGTAGCTGTTTAAAAGCAGGTTTTTTTTTTTTCTTTTTTTGGTCACTACCCCTTACATAGCTATTTTTTATATTAAATCACTGCAATTTTAAAAGCAGAATTCCA